CTGACACTAGTATAGAACATGCAAAAATACAACATAGGTGTGACTGGAGAGAGGAACAGGACTTGCGTCCCAATTGACACCTAACTCCTAATAAATGAATATACATCGACCAAACACATTGCATGAATAGGAAACCATAGGATATTATAAAGTTAAGAACAGCCAGGAGGGCTGTAAAATAGCAGTCGTTCTTTATACATTTTACGTAGTCTGGAGCTGAATACAAATATTGATGTCAACTCTTAAGTTGCGATGAGAGGCTGTTCCACAGATTTGCTGACCTTACGAAAAACGAATTCCTGAAGTAGTCCTGCTTATGTTTGGTAATAAAATAGAAATTGTTTTCGTCGTAATGACGTGATGTATAGCCTGGATCATAGGTACGTAAATAATTATTCACATCCATAGGTATGAGTCTGTTTTTTGATTTGTAAAACAACTGCAAGTCCAAGATTTCTCTTCGGAATTCGAGTGGAAGGAGGTTGGTTTTTATCAGTCTTTCTTGATAGGACATATTTTTGGGATAGTTCAAGATAAACTTAGTCGCTCGTCGCTGAATATTCTCGATTAGTGACCGGTGTTTGACAGTGCTAGGTGACCACACATTACTAGCGTATTCCAACTTAGGCCTAACGAGAGAGCAGCACAGTAGTCTTCTTGTGGCGCAGCCATTTATGTCTCTGCAGATTCTTTTGATGAGTCCAAGAGTTTTGTTGGCTTTCGCTGCAGCGACTTCGATATGCTTTGACCAAGAAAGATTACTGGAAACAGTGATATCGAGGTCCTTGATATTTGTGACTTGTTCAAGTGACTGACCATCGAGGTTGTACTGGTGTTTGTTCGGTAATTTCTTTTTCGAGATGTGCATGACTTTATATTTCTTTGGGTTGAATTTCATTTTCATATCAACGCTCCACTTGAGAAGGTTGTTAAGGTTGTCTTGGAGAGAACTACAAGAAGTAGGAAGATGAAGAGATGTGTAAAGTTTGGAGTCGTCAGCGAAGAGTGCGAGCGATGATTCAGCCTGAATGTAATCTTGGACGTCGTTGCAATAAACAAGAAACAGTAGCAGACCAAGTATAGAGCCTTGCGGCACACCAGACGTAACCGGAAGCCAGTCAGAACAGACACCATGAAGAACAACTCGTTGTCGCCTATCACTGAGGTAGCTTTTATACCAAGATAGGAGAGACCCACTGATCCCAGAATTCTCAAGTTTCTGCAAGAGCAAATTATGTGGTACTTTTGTCAAAAGCTTTTGACAGATCGAGGTATATGGCATCAACTTCTTCACCACTAACAACAGATTCCATGATGTCTTGGTATACCTCCAACAGTTGTGTTGTTGTCGATTTACCCCTGACAAAACCGTGTTGCCTATCGTAGATAAGCGGTGCAAGGTGTAGATATGAATGATTGTGGATGCATCGTTCCAGAACCTTAGACAGCACACAAAGAAGAGAAATCGGTCGGTAATTGGATGAGAGTGTTGGATCATCCGCCTTAAAAACAGGAGTGATATTGGCAAGCTTCCATTTACTGGGTACAACGCCAAGCGAAAGAGACATGTTGAGCAATTTGGATAACGAAGGGGCAATCTCGTCTGCCAGTTCGAGCAAGAGTCTGCTTGGAATGCCGTCTGGTCCGCATGCTTTTTGAGGGTCTAGGTAGCGAAGCACTTCAGCAACTTCATTAAATTCTGTTAATACAATGTTGGATAATTGAGAACATGAGGGTATAGATAATTTAGATGGCATGGCAGGTGTTTCTGCATTTTGAGCTTTGAAGACGGAGTGGAAAAACTTATTTAAGATGTTGGCCATGGAAAGCTTATCTGTTGTGAAATCATTATCTGTTCGTAGGAAGTTAGCATTTTGGCGCGTTTTTGTTGACAATTTTACCGCCGACCAGAAACGTTTGGGGTTGTCGAACAACGACTCTGTCAATTTTTTGTTGTAATCTTTTTTCTTCTTCGAAATCAGCTGTTTGGTATCACGCCGTGTTTTCTTATATAACTCATAATCGACCAAAGATTGTGTTTTCCTGAACTTTTTTCTTTGGATGTTTTTCTCATGGAATTCGAATTTTGTTCCCGGAGCTAGGTTTGCATATGACCAGACAGCTGCGGATTCGATGCAGAGAGATACAATTATCTCGGTGAAAAATAGGCCTTCCAGACGAGGGACCTTCGCTCGAAACGTCAAAGTTCTGCTTATATAGTTTTTGTTAGTTGTGTCTCTCACAATTCGCAGCTGTTACCTCGTTACCTGGAAACGTACTGAACAGTGGATATTCGATTCTTCCAGTGGAATATAATTAACTAAGAATATACAGGGTGTAATATAGGTATGGGTGCAATTTGGAAGACAACATCCACGCGCACGAAAGAGTTTTTCAAAGCGACTAAAACTGTATGAGGCCAAAGGACGAGGGCAATTCACTTTGTTAGTGTCTTTTAAAATCTCAAAAATGGAAACCTTTACACTGGCAGAAGCAAATTCATACTCAAAATAAGTGACCGTTTAAATAATCGCTCATTTGAATGGCACAACATCATTAAACTGACGGGTTTTTTCCAATATATCAGAGCGTCTCAATCTAAAACCTGCGAGTTCATAGATTCCTTTACTACGACCATTCCGGCACCAAAAGGGGGGAGGATTTAAGTACCATATCAAGTACCATTTCACGTGCACGTCCCTCTTGCCATCTCATCTATATACATCTGTAGTGTTACGTCACTTCCGGTAAGCCTCGGAGGAAGCATTAGTTGAGAGAGCGAGAGCAGGAAAGTAAACACATATTTTGCAAGCGAATTTGAGCTATAAAACTAGTAAAACCTAAGACATAACATTGGCGACGAGGATGGCGACGATGCCTATAGTAAATCCAATGCCTCTATTTGATCCTGACTCGGACATTGGAGCAAATATTGGCCCCAAGTGGAAAATCTGGATGGAAGACTTTGAGATGTACATTACCGCAAACGGCATTACAGACAAAGCCAAGAAGCGAGCGCTGCTTTTATACCAGGCAGGCACCCGAGTTCGCGAAATTTTTCGTCAAGTCCCTGATAATGGAGATGACGAAGGCTACGACAAGGCGGTTAAGAAACTAAACGAATACTTTGAACCACAAAAACATCGATTGTACGAGGCGTACAAATTTCGCGAGGCACAACAAGACGGCAGCGAAACTTTAGACCAATATTATATATGAGTTTATCTACCCGATGCGAGTTTGCTGATCCGGATTTTGAAATAATGGTTCAAATTGTCTTATGTGGTCGCTCAAGTCGACTCCGAAAGCAAGCCTTACGTGATCTCAAGTTGACATTGAAAGACCTACTAGTTTCGGGCCGCCAATGTAAACGAAGTCGTCAACAGGCTGCAGGGATCGAGGAAAATACAAGAAACAATCAAACCGGTATGAACGATGACGCTGTTGTGGATGCTGTTCGCAATACCCCTGCTGGAAAGACATCGCAAAAAAGGGGTTTGCAGGAATTGTGGTGCTGAATGGCCACACAACACGGCAATATGTCCAGCAAAGGGCAAAGAATGCCGAAAATGTTCCAAACTGAACCATTTTGCGAGGGTGTGTCGATCTGCGCCTGCGAGGTCAGCGGCAAGACCGTGGACGATGGCAAGGACGTCATGAAAACAAACCAATATATTCGGCCACTTAATGTCTCGGACAATGACAATGAATCAAGCGACTCAGACAATTATTGTTATTCAGTTAACAATACAAAGGCGCAAAATTCCTACACAAAGTTGAAGATTAACAATCGCGACGTAAAGTTTACGGTTGACACTGGTTCCAGTATAAACATAATAGATCAACAAACCTTTGAGCAATTGGGACATTATACATTGTCCAAAACAAACATCAAAGCTTATGCATTTAATCCAAACGTCCCTGTTAAAATGAATGGGAAATTTACCACCATTGTGGTATCACGGCGCAAGATTACGGTGACAACCATTTATGTTACAAAAGCAAGCGGTGGTTGTCTTTTGAGTGGATCAACTGCAGAAGAGCTAGGACTAATCAGCTTGCATTTGAATGCGGTACAAATGAAAAAATTGCATTGACAGTTTGAAACATTTGACATTCCTTTGTTCTGTTAGAAAAAGGGGGTGATGTATTGTTACGTCACTTGCGGTAAGCCTCGGGGGAGGCATTAGTTGAGAGAGCGAGAGCGAATTTGAGCTATAAAACTAGTAAAACCTAAGACATAACAGCATCTCATG